GCATTTATACACCGAGTAAGTGTCCTTCCTTCAGCCCAAAGATTCAAAGAACTGGGAGATTTCAACAGTGGCAAACCCTTAGCAGTCAAGTTTAACCTCTCAGCAGGTAAGCATGAAGGTGCCACAGAGATTTGCCCCTTGCCAAATAGATCCCTAATCTGAGCCACTATTAAAGGGTGTAACCTCCATGCTCTCACCAGAGGACCCCCCTGGAGAGAAGGTCCGGCCCCAGGTTCAGGTGGCTCGGGACATGGGTGGCTCTTAGAGAGAGAAAATGAACACCATACCAGCAGAGAGCGAGACAGCTTCAACAGGGGAGGAGTCCGTCCTGACTAAGACATGCTGGCCCTCCAGGACTGGATGGAAATGCTTTAGAGCTAAGAACACTGCTAACAGCTCGCATCTGTGGACACCACCTTGCAAACAACACCCTCCCAATCCGAGAGCCCTGATGCAGCAGCCCGGGCTCCCTCCAAGGACGGCGAGCTGGCAGCCTCCTTAACGCGGTTACCGGCAGCCTCCTCCGGAGGTGACGCGATGCAAACGGTGAGAGAGAGTCCAGCGTTGAAACGCTCTCATTCTTAACAGTCCAAGTGGCACTACGGCGATCATAGATGCCATCATGCCCAACAAACGTAATATGGTCTGGAAACGCAGCTGAAACTGAGCGAGGCAGCGATGAAACGCCGCCACTCTGTGCTCTGACAAACGCACGCGGCTGGAAAGCGAGCATATTTCCAAACCGAGGAACGAAATCTGCTGACTCGGGATTAGCGAGCTCTTTTGAACGTTCACAGAGAACCCCAGTGTCTGAATGTGTGACAGAACCAGTGACAGCTGCGTCTCCGCCTGCTCTCTGGAGCAAGCTACGAGAGCCCAGTCGTCCAGGCAGGCTAAGATGCAGATGCCTCTCTCTCTGAGGGGCGCTAGCGCTGCCTCAGCACATTTTGCAAAGGTGCGAGGAGCGAGCGTCAGCCCAAACGGCAGCACTAGGTACAGAGGATGTAATCTGTGGTGACTCTGACCTCGTTAAGAAGAGGTGCCAGCGGGCTGTCATCAGGAACCAGCGATCCGAGCTCCGCCAGGCACATTGCCTGGTACGTCTGGAGCATGGTGACGGAGCTCATGGCGCGAGCAGTGCCGGCCTGAGCCCGATAAATCTTCTGCAGCTGCGAAGCAGAGAATCTGCAGTGCTTGGCGGGGCCGCCGACACCATGGTTATGGGACGGGGCCAGATAAGCAGCAAGAGACGGCTCCATAGGGGTAGGTTAGCTATTCCATGTACTGTCCATAGCCGGGCACTGTGACGATGGTAGACAGAGGTTTGTCCCATGATGCTGTTAGCTCGCAGACAAAGTCTGGGAACATGGGAAGGCAGTTTTTGGCTGCTGCGGGCTCCGGGGAAGAAAAAACCCGCGAACCGCGACGGCTTCTGAGCTGGCGGAGGAGAGGGCCAGTCCACCTGCAGCTTCTCAGCAGCACGGCGAAACAGGGAGAAAAGAGAGGTGTCATCGAGGCCGGGGGGCACAGCAGCGGCGGCACATTGGGCCGACAATGAGCTCTCCTGCTCATCCTCCGACAAACCATGGATGTCCAGGCCGATGACCAGCACGTCATTGTCTTCCTGGGGAGCGCTGACGGGCTTCAGACAGCGGAGCGTCCCAGCACTTTTTCCACAAACGTCACCCGTCTTTCCAGGGTCGAGTGCCGGAGCTGGTGACAACACGCACAGGCTTCGGGCTCCATCAACGCTCTCCTAGCGTGGACGATCCCCAGGCAGACAGGGCAGGCATTGTGCTGGTCGCTGTCGTGCAAAGAGAAACCGCATCCCTGAGGACAAGGGCGAACAGAAGGTTTCTGCTTTGCTCGCTTCTTGGAGTCCATTCCAAAATGCACAGCAAAACGCTGCACAGCAAAACTTGAAATTAGCGCTCTGCGGGCAGCCTACGCACCAACTAACACTGGAGACTAACACTAGGGCTGCCACGATTAGTCGACTAGTCACGATTAC